GAGAACGAGAGGGAACGAGGGATGAGAGTTGGAAGGCCGACTTCCAAGAGGGAATCCTTCGCTTCTTCTCTTGTTCTTGTTCTTGTTCTTGTCCTTGTCCTTGTCCTTTGCTAGCCAGAGGGAGAGGGAAGGGGGGTCGGTCCCCTTCTTATGCTTTCAGCCACTTTGGCGTGTATGCTTGGATAGGTGGCGACTGGCTGATGGTACGTATGCTGGATCGAGTTAGGGTGGGTTCGTGGAAGGAGGAGGAGGGGAAGGAGGACTAGGTGTGGTGTGGATGGAATGAAGTGGGGGGGGATGGAAGAAGACGAAGGTCGAGCTCATGACTGCCAGTGATTAATAGCTGTGGCGGGTTAGGCTGAAGGGTGGGAGCAACCTGGCACCTTTCAAGGCAACAGCGCACACTTGGAATCAACCGCCGCTCGACTATTCGATCCGACATGTGAAATCCGATCTTAATCCCAGTGGCTTTGAACGTATTCGATGGGCTTCCAGCCACCATAACCCAAAGTGGAGTGGTAATAATCGTGTTCGAGATCTTACCCTTTCATAATCATGAAGTTGACCGTGCTACATACAATGAAGGCATCTGGCCCGAGGCTAGTCAAGGTCTGTGTTAGTGACCGAAGGATGACAACGTGGAAGTCTTTGGTTCTTTCCACGCACGTGACCCAACCCGCCAACCAGGCCAAGCTCCCTCTCCCTGTATCCAGCTATACGCCCCAACAACCCCACTCTTCTTCCTTCCTACCCTCACAGCCTGATCTCTTTGGTTCGCAGCCACGTCTCTCCCTTCGAACAGGCGAGCAGCAAAGATGACAAGCAGGGAGAGGCTGCACATCCTCCAATTCGTCCAAAACCACCCCTACTACAGCTGGGAATAGCCCCCTCAGCTAGCTTTCCTTCGGACGTCGATCCAAGAAGGGCATACATCGTAGGTTGCAGCAAGGAAGCTCAACGTTTCCAAGCTGATCGTGACAAGCGGTTGAAGATGGATTCTCTTCCGTCTTTGAAACCGTCGCATTCATCCAGTAGCTTGGTATCCATATCCGAAGCCGACTGGACATCTGCCCGTTGCCACTTACCACCCTCACCCCTTCCCTTCTTGGTTGTGTCTCTCCCGACTGGAAAGAGAGAAAGCCTTTCTATAAACGTTCACTTTGCACTCATTCTACCCATCCTGTGGCTCTAGGAAGAGAGATATACGGGGGAAGGCGTCGACTTTGCCGTGGTGATCGTGGTTGTTGTCGCTGTTCCAACCGATACCTGGATTGAGGCTTTTGAGTATCTTTGAACCGTATCTCTTGGAGCGTGGTGTGTGTCTCACGCCTTCCCGTTCCCTCTCCCTCCACCCAGACCTTCGTTCAAGGACCGGCGGGTCTTGATCCGATCACGACGGATTGCATGGGTCAAGAATCATACAATCGTGCTTGACTCTGCGCTCCTACACTAACTCTTACTGTTTCGGTCGGTTGTGTGCATACAACGTACTTTGCAGTCTGAGTGACAAAACCATGTCAGAAGTTGGAATGGCGCGCCGCCTCTCTCCCTCTCGCTCTCTCCCCTCTCGCTCTTCTTCAACGCCACGCACGGACAGAGTCGGCGAATGACCGACCGGATAACGAGCGACAGAGGCGGATTCGTTTAAGCTCTGTCTTCTTGATCACACTCGCTCCCTCCCTCTCTCTCTCTCTCTATCTCTACCTCTCTCTCACTGCCCCCTTTCCCAACCATCCCCTTACCCTTCTTCTCCTTCTTCCATCCACAGGGACCTCCCCATCTCTTCACGCAGTCACCTCTTCCCCTTCCTCCCCGACTGCTGCCAATTCTCTCGCCTTCACCATCACCATCCTCCCACCTGAGAGAGAGAGAGAGAGAGAGAGAGAGAGAAAAGGAGCACATCAAACAGAGCCCCTTCATAGACAGGCACAGACAAGAAATCATGGCCTCCCCCACCTCTGCAGTCACGAGGAAACTCAAGATCCTCATGGCCCATGGCTACACCAGCAACAGCTTCATTTTTCAAAAGCGTTCCGGCGCCATCAGGAGAGCCTGCAAAGGTAAGAAGCCGCTTTCCCTCACTCCTCCACCTCCCTCTCCTTTCTCTCATCCCTTGCATCTGCTCAACCTGAACCCCCCCTCTTCTTCCTCCGCAGACGTTGCCGACTTCACATTTGTAAACGGACCACACATCGTCCAGCCCATCACCTCCGCAGGCGATCTCGACTCGCCAGACACGGAGGGGAAACCCATCGACGAAAACACCCCGATCGAGGAACAACCCAGGGCTTGGTGGAAGGCAAACTCGTTCGACGCCACCTACGAGCTCTGGCCCGAGACGGTCCAGTACCTCAACAAAGTTTTCGAGAAAGAGGGTCCCTTTGACGCAGTGTGGGGCTTTAGCCAAGGTTGGTCCCGCTATCCCCCTCCCTTCCCCTCCCCTTGCTCTGACCGACGCCAATCATTCGTTTCCGGCTCTCTCGGTGTTTTTTCAACTGCTGATGCCTAGACCCAAACCACCTCCTCTCCGCATGATTCCAAGGCGCCTGCTTGACTGGTCTCCTGGCTTCGGCGTTTGAAAAACCGGAAAGGGTACCCGGTCTCAAGCTTCCCAACGGTCAAGGTCCTCTCCGCTTCGCCATCGCCGTCTCTGGCTTCAGGAGCAGGGATCCTTCCCATCAGACCCTCTTTCAAGAACCAATTCAAACCCCCGTCCTCCACGTCCTGGGTCGGTGAGTACAGTCGCATTTAGCTCCTCCGTTTCTGACCCTCTCTTCACTCGTCGACTCCCGCTCGTTTCGAACATGGACCGACGACGCCATCCTTCACCCCCTCCCGCCTCTCTCTTCCATCCCCCTTTCGACAGAGCCGATCAAATCGTAGACCTGGATCGTTCCCAGACTCTGATCGATGTCTGTGCCAACTCGAGAGTGGAACTTCACGATGGAGGCCACTCTCTCCCTTCCCAGTGAGTCGAGCTCCAATGACTAGAGGTGTTTTCTTCCCATCTCTTCCTCTCCGTACTCAGGCACACCCGCTGAAACAGATTGAAACGAACAAACCCCTCTTGCACCGCCTTCCAGAGCGGCCTGGAGGAACTTCTTCCGAGATTTCATCGCCACCTTCGCGAGTGAGCCTTACGTCGCGAACAAGGACTGGCTCAAAGTCATCGGGCCCTCGGAAAGGCCGAAGGGAGAAAACACGCCGTCCGCCTCGGGTGCCAACACCCCGACCCATGCTCAGACCTACGCCAACGGAAGCAGTAGGGACGATACCAACCTAGGAGGCGATCCGAACGAGAGGGCTCCGGCGTCGGTAGCGGCAGATGCAACAACCTCTCCCTCTTCTTCATCCACCACCACGACCGCCCAAGCTGTGGGAGGAGGAGGAGGAGGAGGAGGAGGAGAACAAGGTGAGCAAGACATCGACCCTTCCAACCCGAACAGGAGAGTGCCAAAGAAGAAAGCCAACGCGCCCTTCCTGGTCCACCAGAGATGGAAGGAGGAGCAGGAGGCCCAGAGGAGGGCCCAGGCCTTGGCCCAAGGTCAAGACTTTGAGGCCGAGGAGGAGAAGAGGAGGGAGAGGAAGCGAGAGGAGGAGGAGAGGAAGGGGAGGGAGAGAAAGCCTTCAGCCTTTGTCAAGGCGGCCGCGGGATTGTTCAGGTACGCGATCATGGGCCTCGCCATCGCCCTCCTGGCGGGTCAGTTCTTCGCTGGCGACGCGCTCTGGGGTTACAGGGGAAAGTGGACCAAGCTGAGGACCTACATGCCAGTGAGTTTTTGCTCTTCCTCCCTCGATTTGGCGCAGGTTGGGAGGTGGGGAACCCAGAGCCCCTGCTCGTTCGCTGAGGTTGAGGCCGTTCCGAAACTCGTCTCTCGCCTTTCTCTCCACATCTCTTGCTTTTTCTTTGTATCTTCCCTTCAGTACAAGGAGAGGATCTATTCGTTACCGGAACTGGCCCTTTACAACGGGAGGGATCCGGAAAAGCCCATTCTGGTGAGTTGGGCGGGATGGCGGGCTCTATGCCCATGCCACGCGTTAGGAACCCGCATCGCCTGAGAGGAATGGAACCCCACACTAACGACCATTGACACTGGTTTGCTTGGTTGATCGTGCATGAATAATAAATTATGAAAAAAAAAGCTTTCGATCATGGGAGACGTTTACGACGTGACGGCGGGATCCAGGATCTACGGACCAGGAGGAGGATACGAATTCTTCAGCGGAAGGGACGCCAGTCGATCCTACGTGACCGGTTGCTTCGAGACCCACCTCACCCACGACATCCGAGGTCTCACCGCCTTGGAAATATCTGTAAGTCTTTTTTCTCTCCTCCACCCCCCCTTTCTTGAACCCGTCCAAAAATTGACTTAGATACCCCCCCCCTACACAGGACATCATGAACTGGAAAAGATTCTTCGACACTCACGAAAAGTACTTCAAGGTCGGAAGGGTCGTCCTACCCACCCTGACAGAAGACGATCCCATCCCGGAGGATTGCGAACAGTGGGCCAAGCAAAAGTTGGACAGGGTCGAGTACTGAAAAAGCGGGAGACCCTTGTTTATCTCGAATCCAACCTCGGGTGTTGGATTGGCTCTTCATTTTTCTTTGTTCCGCCCCCCCCCCCTCCCCCCCTCCTTCTGCCCTTGAGCTCTTCTGTCTCGGGAACCCTGTCCCTTTGCGTACAGGGAAATGAGACCTTCACTTTCAACTTTTCCTCAACACATTGCCCTCCCCTCCCCTAAAAGAAAGAAAATGAACGACTTGGAAAAAAAAAATAGCGAAAGAAGAAAGAAGGTAGAGAGGTTCGCCTGTACCAATTGGTTCCGAGGCCGGAGGCGCGAAGGGTCGAAGTGAGGGGAAAACTTCACTGGGAAGTCGAAGGAGGGGAGTAGCTTGTCAGGTTTTTTTTTTTTTTGGTTTTTGGGTTTTTTTTATATCGGATTGGGAAGCATGAGCAGTTGGAGATTGGGGGAAAAAAAGTAAACAAAGAAAAAGATTCCCTGCCGGGGAATTGAACCCCGATCTGAGCAGAACACGTTTCGTGAGAGTGCCCTATACTAGCCATTGTACTAACAAGGACCTTTGGATACTTTTTACTTGAAAACGGTCAAAGTATGTACCTGTAAATTGAACCATTCCAATTGAAACTTCAAAGGAAAACTTGACCCGTTTCCCCTCCCCTTTTTTTCGGCGCCTCCCTAAATCCGATCAAACGGGTCACAGAACGAAAAGCGGTGCGGGGTTTCTCTCCAGATGGGTGGGAAGCCATTTTCCTAAAGACGCAGTAAAACCAAACATGAAGGGGGGGGGGGATCAAACGACAGGGTTCCAAAAGGTAGGGGAGGAGGTTTTTTTTTTTTTTTTTTTTTTTCCTCATAGGATCATCATCCCTAGAGTGGGGGGTGGGTTTTCACTGTTGAGGATGTTGTTGTTGTCGATGTGGATTCTGAACCGGAGTTTCGTTCGTTTCCGTCGAGTGGGGGGGTGGGGGGGGTGGTGGGTCGAAGAAGAGTGCGTCCAGGCCGTCCAGGGCTGAGGGGTAGGGAGACGGGGGAGGAGAGAGTCAGTCGGAGAGAGTGCGAATGAAGGACAAAGTAGATCAAAAAAATTAGAAAGATAAAATAAAATAAATAAACTCACGAAGACCTAGATCCGACACTGGAGACCGGAGGAAAGGGGAGAAGGAGTGGGAAGGGAAGAGGCATTTATGATTTTTTTTATTGTTTCAGTGACCTTCGAATCTTTCACTTTCCTTTCAGGATCTTCCCGGTACGGGCCGCAGGTTAGTTCGCCGCCGTTCTCTCTCGAAATAGGAAAGGGGTTGGAATGGAGGGAGGGAGGGATCCCACGATGACTCACTGACGTAGTCGAAGTTGCTGATCGGGTTCATGTGAGCCGACGAGGAGGAGGAGGCGTGGAAGGCGTGACTGCTTGGCGTGGCTGCCGTGCCAAGCGAAGGGGCGATCGATCCTCCGTTTCCACCACCCGATGCCATCCCGTTAGGTCCTCCGGAGTTGCCGCCGCCTCCCAGAGTCCCTACCGGGGTCGTGGCCGTAGCCGGGTAAGGGGTCTGGGCGGCGCTCGTCCCACCTCCTCCTCCGAGGCCGAATTCGGCTCCTCCGAAATCGAAGGATCCGGTCGACTCCTGCATCCAGAGCGGTAGCTGCAGAGGTTGGTGTTGTGAGGCCGAATGGTTCGTGTCTCCTCCTACACCTTCGACAGCACCTACCCCTCCTTCTCCTCCGCCCCCATTCAGTCCTTCTCTACCTGCGGTGGCGGTGGAAGATGTGGGGCGGGCCGAGGTAGGGTCCATGGCGTTCGAAGGCCAGCTACCGATCGGACCCGAAGCGATCGAGCTCAGCCAAGGGTTACTGTCGTTGCCGGAGCTCGTCTCGTTGCGATGGTTCGAAAGCGCGCTGGTGGCAGCGTTCCACTGCGGGATGTTGTAGGGCAGCGCGTACCCATCGTAGGCCTTGGATACTCCTCCGCCGCCTCTCTCCTCATCGCCGCTCGTGGTTTGACCCTCCATGTTGGATACGTGCTGCTGATGTTGCTGCTGCTGATGCTCCTGCAGCAGCTTGTACAGCAGCGAGATGCCAGAGTCGCTGGGTCCTCCGGTCTTGATCTCCGCAGGGGTGATGGCGCCCGGCCTGGCTCCGTCCACCCCGAGAGCGGCGTAGAGTCCCATGGCGGGGCTCAGGTCGGCGATCCTTTTCCACGCCTGAGCGAGGAGCATCCTGATCACCCTGGCGTACTTTGTCGCAGGCACCTCTGCCAGTCGGCTCGCCAGCTTCTCGGCGTTGGAGAAGATGCCGTGCGTGTCCACTTGCCTCGGGAAGAACCTCGCGATCTTGATCAGGAAGACGCACGCGAACGCCGCCGTGACGTGCGTGTAGTGAGGCGCCCAGCCCAGCATCTCCCTGTACGAGTCGCTGCTGACCGAGATCGAGAGGCACGTGTCGGCCGCCTTGGTCGCCTGCATGATCAGCTCCCTCTGCTCGGATCCCATCTGCCAGGCGTCGCTGGCATCCCTGATCCCCCTCAGCGCTGTGCAGCTCAGGTAGAGTTCGGCGCTGGCGCGTTGCAGCTCAAGGCTCTGCTGGAAGAACGAGTCGCCTCCATAGCCCCTGCTGGCCAGCTCGCCGCTCCAGTACTGGTGCCATTCGCTCAGCTCCCTAGTCACCCTCCTCATCCTGGCCAGCATCCTTCCATCCACGGGCTGATCGTACGGCGCCATGGCGTCGTAATGCGTCTCCCTGATCACCAAGAGCTCGAGCGTTGAGATGAACCTGGCGTCCGTGTTGATGGCGAGCGGGTACTGCAGCGTCAGGAAGGCTCGGCAATTCCTGACGTAGTGCTTGGAAAGCATGGCGGGTCTTCCGGCGCCGAACGAGGTCTGATGGTCGAAGAGGAAAAGGAAGAACCATAGCCTGGCACCCCTCGCCAGCTCCCTCAGCTCTTCCACCGAGGTTTCCTTCGATGAGTCGGCAGCTGCAGCCGAGGCTGGTGTGGCCTCGGGTTGCGGCTTTCCCTTTCCCTTGACGTCCCTCGAGGTATCACTCAAAGCAGCGGGCGAATCGGCGGTGATGGAAGACTGGGGAGAGCCTCGGTAGATGGCTTCGCGCGGAGGGGCAGGAGGCGGTGGATGCTGAAAGTAGCTGCCCCTCGGTAGGGAGGTCATAAGCTGCTGGAACGATCGGTCGAGGCCGAGCTCTTGCGCCATGCGGATCGACTGCCCTGTGGAAAGCCAACCATTGTCGCTGTAGGCGGCAAGCAGAACCATGGCCTGAACAGCCTCCTTTCCATCGACAGGCTGGAAGAGCGTTTCCTTGGCGTTCCGCCTGGCTTGGGCAAGACAGATTCTGAGGAGGCGGGATGGAGGCTTGCCGCCGCACTCGACCCTGGCGCCAATGGCGAGGATCACGTTGAAGAGAAAGTAGCTCCTGGCCCGGATCGATTCGAGTAGCGTGTCGAGTTCGGCATCCTCGAAGACGTTGTCCTCGAAATGGAAGATGGAGATGAACTTGGGGACTCCTTGCCCAAAGACTTGGAACAACCTCCTCGCTTCCTCAGCCGTGACCAGGCCGAGCGTGACCAGGTCTCCCTCCTTGTCCAAGCCTCGCTCCTCGACCGGATCGACTGTCTGCTTTTCCAACAAGTGCGAACCTGCCGTCGTTTGCGAGGAGATGGTCGTCCTGCGTCTCTTGGAAGGTGGCGGATCGAAGCCACCGCGAACTGAGGCAAAGTCGCCATCGTGTCCGTTCGAGTTGCTGGACTCCTCGTCCTGACCGATCCTTGCCCTGCTTCTCGAGGACGCACGGGCGTCGGCCGGCAATACGAAGACATTCGAACCACTCCGGCCCCGCTTCCCCCCCGTAGGTCCGTCCCCAGGAACTTTCTCCTTCCCCATCTCCGTTTCGCCATCCCCAGCATGATCGTCATCCACATCCTCTTCAGCGCTGGAGCTGACGTTCTCGGCGTCGGCTGCGGCCGCGGCCGCGTCGGCCAAACCTCTGAGCGCCTCGATCGGAGCTGAAAGCTGCTCGTTGGAAATGTCCGGGTCCTTGGGATCAGTGGAGGAGGAGGAGGGCGAAGGTTTGAGAGGTACTCGACTCATTGGAGGAGGCATTGAAGAAAGGGGAGTCGAGGACCTCCACGGACCTCCGGGTACTGTCTCCACTGAAGACGATCTGCCACCACCTCCGCCACCAAAATCACCGCCGACACCCGCCGACCCTGCCGTGCTCGTATTCCATACGTGCGAGGAGCCCTGCCGCTGCAGATCTGGGCGGGCGCCCGGGTAGCCAGGCGGTGTTCTCCCTTCATTCAGCCCACCAGGACCACTCCACGACGATGGTCCACCCCCACCACTCGTCGGGCTTACCCCTGGCCAGGATCCCATCCTTGGGCCGGATTCACTCTCGCCAGCACTGGCGGGACTTTTGGGTGGGGGTCCAAACTGATGGGAAGGTGGCGGCGGCGGGACGTTCGGCTGTCGAAGCCGTGGAGACTCGTTCGTCGAGGATGCGTAGAAAGATGGATGGGGCTGAAGAGGGGTGCTCTGCTGGCTGTAGTAGTGTTGGTAAGCCGGATTTGAGTGATGGCTTCCATACGGAACGCCGAAGAGTGGATGCGGATGCTCCCGATGAGGTGGGGGACGGGAGGAGGGAGGAGGTGGTGGTGGAAACTGAGTTGGCCTCGCCGCCAAGGTGCCGGCTCTCACGTTTTCCTTCAAAGTGGCCACGAGCTCTCCGATCATGGATTGCATCCCAGACATCTGACTCTCCAGAGACTTGATCCTCTCAAGGCCGGCTTCGGTCACGGCCGGTTCCTTGAGGGGCTTTTCAAAAATGCACTCGATCCCGGCCGCCCTGCAACGTTTGCAGGGAGCCTGTTCGGGACCCTCACACCTCATCTTTTGCTTTCGGCATGCGTTGCAAGCCCGATGGACCCTGGAGATGGCTTTGTAGACTTTTTTCGACTCTCCGTCGCCTCCTCCTCCTCCTCCTCCTCCTCCTCCTCCACCGCCACCCGAGCCGGATTTGCCTTTGTTGCCGCCTTTGCCATCATTCCCTTGGGCTTCTTCGGATTCACCGAGGTCACCATCCCCATCTCCCTCGGCTGAGGATTCCGATTCTCCCCTCGAGGGCTTGCCTGCTCTGGAGGAGGAGGACTGTCCACCACCCGGTGCATGGATGACGTCCTCTCCTCTCGTTGACGATGAATTGCCTCGCCCGATGCTCTCCAGAGTCAGCTTGGAAGAGCTGGCAAAGTTTTCCAAGCCGGAACCCTCTGCAAGGGGGCGGCGAGAATGCACGAGTGGACGATGAAGATGATGTTGGGAAAGAAGGCAAAGTGGATCGATGAATGCTGCTCGTTTCGTGGGTCCTGAAGACACGTGGTCTTTGATTTGGGCTGCAAAGCGATCTTGAGGGTGTGTCGGAAGGAATATGGCGGTGGCCATTTTTCTTCTCTCTTGCTTTCTTGCCCTTTTGCTAGCTTCCCTTGATCTGTCTTTTCGAAAAGGTCTGAGACTTCCGGAGCGAGCTTCAACGTGGATTCAGCTAGGCTGTTTAGGA